GGTTGCTCTGAGCTACAGTGATGCCATGGCACTCTATCCAGGGCAACAGAGTGAGCCTCTGTCTCACACACACATACACACACACACAAAAAGACCCTTAGTGACAACAGTATGATAACAGTATACACGCAATTCCTAACAACTCCATGTATAAATGTTGCTCATGGCTTAACCAGGGCTAGGCATGATGGCTAACGCCTGTAATCCTAGCATTCTGGAGCTAGGCACCCGTACCACAGTGGTTATGGCACCAGCCACATACACCCCAGGTGGTGAGTTCAAACCTGGTTCAGGCCAGCTAAACAACAATGACAACTGCAACAAAAAAATAGCCAGGCCTTATAGCAGGCACCTGTAGCCCCAGCTACTTGGGAGGCTGAGGCAAGGGAATCGTTTAAGCCCAAGAATTTGAGTTTGCTGTGAGCTGTGATGCCACCGCACTCTACCAAGGGTGGCATAGTAAGACTCTCTCTCAAAAAAGAAAAAGAAAAAAATCCTAGCACTCTGGGAGGCTGAGGTGGGGGTACTGCCTGAGCTCACAGGTTTGACACCAACCTGAGCAAGAGCAAGACCCTGCCTCTAAAAATAGCCCAGCGCTGTGGTGGGTGCCTGTAGTCCCACCTACTTGGGAGGCTGAAGCAAGAGAATTGTTTGAGCCCAAGAGTTGGAAGTTGCTGTGAGCTATGATGCCACCCTTGGTCTACTGAGGGTGACAAAGTAAGACTCTGTCTCAAAGTAAAAGTAGTTTGTGTACAAATAAGTTTAGTTTGACAATCTGCATAGATTTGATGGCTTTCTATTACTAAATCAGACCTTATAAAATATGCAGACAAAGTAAAATACAGTAAGTTATTATTACAAACAAATAATAGGTTTGGAGGAATACTATTTCATAAAACTTGAGGAGATACCAAACCACAAAGGTGGAAGACACAACTGATCCAAAATTATTTATTCTCTCCACAAATATTTATTGAGAGGTTCCCATGAACAAGGCACTCTGCCCTTATTTGGAATATACAAGATATGTCTTATTTTTACCAATGTCAAATT